CTCTCCTGACATCAGGGTCATGTTGACCTGCTAATTTGCAACAGAGTGCCTCTTTGAAATTTTGATGAAAGTGTATCCTGGGTGTGTTTAACGTATGTTCTTTGTTCTAAAAAGATATAAAACTGTACTGAAAACCATGCTTCTCTGGAACACTTTCTAAGGCCTTTCCGGGTTATAATCCTCACTCTCTCAAGTAAACTGACCTTATTTCTCTTATCTATAGAATAGTTATTGGTTGTTTTGCGTCAATAACATTAAGAAATCATTAAAGGGATAATAGTATTGCGGTTATTTTTAAAAAGTCCTTTTTAAAAAATGCAGGAAAAGATATGAAATCTTTTTTGACTGAAATATAATTAAGAAGACATAAAATCTTGTACCTGTTTTAAATACTTCAGCAAAAAATGAGGAGTGATAGATGAATCAAGTGTGGCAAAATCTTGACAAGTGTTGAACCTGGCTATATGGGGCTCGTTATATTATTTCTCTACTTTTGTGAACGTTTGAAAATTGCTGTCATCATCATCATCATCACCTTCAGGCACAATACTTACCAAGAGGAGTAGACTAATAAAAGCAGGTAGACATTTGGCTGTGATAGAGAAAATCTCAACCTATAATCCTTCCATATCCCGTAACTGGATTACCTTTCTCTCTGCAAGTAGCTAGATAAGTTCCAGTATTTATCATAAGATAACCCCATTAAATGCCTTATACTCCATATCTTTGAGGACAGCAGATACCGATATGTATGTAAAGAGTTTACACCAAGACAACAGTACTAAATCAACGCAGCTGATTTAAACAGACTATCAAGAACAGCCTGCCCAACACAAAAATGAGCATAGAAGAACAATATCCCTCAAATTTCTGTGACAAAATATTATCCCACATTTTCTGTGAATTCAAGAGATTTGATTAATGTTGATATAGCCAATGCTGTACAAGTATCAACATAGTTAGTCAAGTCTCACAGACAGAATTTCAAAAGTAAAATTAGAGAGAAATGTTTGGCAGCCTGAATTCTCTCTGAACAGGTGTAACATCAGAAGCTTCACCACAGCATTTTGGCCTTTGTGTGTGTTTGGGTGGGGCAAGGGGCTGAGGGGCAAGAGATAGGGGGCAGAAGGGAAATTTAGCACACGGGCTTAATTAACAGTAGGCCACATGACCCAAAATCTTTCTTTGTGGTGCTGCTGGAGTAGAGCAATGTGGAGGCCCTGAGGAGGCGCAGGAATTTCCCACTGCCGACAATGCTGAGTCAGTCCAGCAAACACTCCAGGGAACGCTGCCAAAATGACAGAGCCATAGCCTCTGTTTATTTGTATTGTTTGTGACTCACTCCTCAGGCAAGGGCATATTTGGCCTTTGATCCTGCCTGTTGACTGTTGGTTGGTAATCATTCAAAATGTCCCGGTATCATAAAGCAATGACAGTGGAATTCATCTTGAGTCATGAAAATGACAATTAATTACATTCATTATCATTACAATCAACATTACTAACTGATTCAAGTCTGATAGCACAGTAAGTGCTGGAAATCAGTCAGGTACCCAAAGAGTTAGGCTGGTGGTTCTTAACAGTCAAATGGTCCCTTGCACTATTCACAACAGAGTAAAGTAAAAGTTGCTAAATTCTCAATCAGACCACATCCCAGGGTCCAAGGAGATGCATTTGTCCTGTGGCTGGAGATGCGAAAGCACAGCAGACGCAAAGAAGCAAAGGAGGCAGCACCCTTCTTCTTTCTTGTTTTAGCTTTCCAGCACATCAGCTCTCAGGAAACAAAAACTAGGGCAGAGGGTAACTCTACACTCTCCATTGAAATTGAATGTTCAGTATAACACAGTTACTTAAGCAGGGGAAAAAGATTTTTCTTCCTCATTGTTAATACAATGAGGAAAAGTCCTTAAACCTAGAAGAGTAAAGTGCAGTAACAGAGCTTCTTTTTTTTGGTGAGGAAGATAGGCCCTGAGCTAACATCTGTGCCCATCCTCCTCTATTTTGTATGTGGGATGCCACCACAGCATGGCTTGATGAGTGGTGCATAGGTCCATGCCCGGGATCTGAACCTGCCAACTCTGGGCTGCAGAAGCAGAGCGCATGAACTTAACCAGTACGCCACTGGGCCAGCCCCCTAGAGCTTCTTTTTTGTGTGTGTGAGGAAGATCAGCCCTGAGCTAACATCCATGCTAATCCTCCTCTTTTTGCTGAGGAAGACCGGCTCTGAGCTAACACCTAGAGCTTCTTAAAGAGATCTTACTCATGGTCATATCTGAAGCTCAATAAATTAGACATTTTAGTAGAAGACACAATAGAATATGGCTAAAGACAGAAGAGAACTATTTAACCACAAGGATAATATTTCCCTAGGTTCAGCTTGCAGTTGGCTTATTCAGTAAAAGCACAGAAGAATTATAATCAAGAGGGGTTTATAATCAAGTGGAGAGGGAGACTTAAAAACTGTTTCAAAAAACGTGTTTCACTAAATAAAAGCACAGCAGAAGGAATTTATTGCTGCAGAAAATAAATGTAACTCTTTTCCCTGTTTAGCTAATCTCTCCCTCTCCATTTCCCAAATCTATCATCAGCACTGTATCAGTCAGACATCTCAAAATCACACCCACTCTCCTGGGTCCCTTGGCCTGCCTGTGACCCTTGCCTAAACACTGACCAGTTCAACACTGTCTTGTGCTACATCATTGGCAGCAGTACAGAGACATGATGCTCCGAAGACAGAAGACTGCTCCGAAGGCAGAAGACTGCACCAGCCCAGCACACAAGTGCTCACTGTGTTTCATCACCCTCTGCCAGTCTGTCTAGGATTGAGACACTGTCTCCCTGCTGACTCCAAACAGCACACACCCTGGAACAGGGCTACCCGAGCAACACACGTCAGGATGGGCGTGGAGGTGCATACCATGCACAGCTGTGAGATTAACAGAGATGAAAGCAGCAAATATCAGAGCCTAAATTAGATCTCACATTGTCCTTTCCTTATGCACCTATTTTAGCATTCTTCACAGTGGCGTGTCGGATGCCTGTCTCCCCAAGAAACCACGTCTTTACCATCTTTGGATCCCCTGTCAACCATACGGGTAGCAAATGTTCAAAACTGCAATAGTCAGTTCCCAATTTCACAGGCTAAAAGGAAGGGTAGCCATTCCGAATGAAATATGACAAATTTTAGGCACCAGCCTTACTCTAAACCATTATGATTTATATTTTCTCCTCCTGTTCACTTCCAGTATTTCCTGGAGGTGCCATGGAAGACAAAGACCAAAAATAGAAAAGACGATGCACAACAAAAAAAAAAGATCAAAGAAGTGAAAATATTCACTTCCATACAGGCTAAAAAAACTACACCAAGACTCCTGAACACCCTCCCCTAGTGACTTTTTAATCCTCTTAACCTACCAAATTGAAACACCTTGTGCCCTTTTAAATTTCTGGACCAACACATGCACCACCATGACCCCAATCCATAGGGCCCTGTAGACTCTCACTCAAGATCAATGACAGACCAAAGTCTCAAGTACAACAGAAAACCAGCAATTAAGTTTGTTCTCTCCTTAAATCATAAAGACACACGTTAAAAAACGTACCTGGAAAAATAAAAAATTAGTAGATCTGCTATAGCTGAGAGAAATCTGGCAATAACAAGAGGAGAGGATCAAGTATAGCCAGAAATATCCAATCTGTAAAAACGTTATCAGTGATAACACTTTGGTGTTTGAGTAGACACCATGAAGCTCGACCAGTTGCTTCAACCATTTGAACATAATAATCCAGTTACACAAAAACACACGTTTTCACTCCAATATGCTATTTCCAAAACGTGATACAGTATACAATTTCTACAATTCCTCTTAGACAAGCCCCCAGAAGATAAATTCCTTCTAGTGAAGTGTTCAACATTTTGATCTTATTTAATCTCAAATTAGATGGGCATAAAATTGTTTCAACAACTATTTTTGAAAAACACATAAAGGCTTAGTCTTTTCATTAAATCTAGTGATTTATTTCTTCCTAATTTCATAGTCATCACTCCCATAAAATTCTACTCCCCTATAAACCCAGTGTCTTAATTCTTAAAATTTTTACCCCAAGTGAAAGGGTTTATTGAGATAAAGACAAAGTACACAAATAGAAGCAGGGACTGGTTAGCTCCGTTGATTTGTTAACTCACTTCTAACAAAACTTAAACAAGTTCTTTACACAGGACTTTTCTGAGCCTTTGTTACTAGGCAATATTACTCTCCAAAAGGAAGGTGTAGTATGTGGTGACTCCCAAGTTTGTTTCATGGGGAAGTTATTTTTTTATTTTTATTTTTTTTATTTTTTTTGAGGAGATCAACGCTGAGCTAACATCCATGCCAATCCTCCTCTTTTTGCTGAGGAAGATTGGCCCTGGGCTAACATCTGTGCCCATCTTCCTTCACTTTATATGGGACACCGCCACAGCATGGCATGACAAGCGGTGCGTCGGTGCACGCCCAGGATCTGAACCCGGGTCACCAGCAGCAGAGGGCGAGCACTTAGCCGCTAAGCCACGGGGCTGGCCCCGGAAGCTATTTTTTATTTCATATATTACCAATTAGCCTTTAGCAGGAAAAAGTATTCTAAGGAACATTATTTGAGAACCACAAATTACAATAAAATGCTAATGAAACCTCAAAAATAAGTTTAACTCCCAGGTAATCCAGTTGACCCCCTTTTCTTTAACCATTGACTACATCTTTAAAACCATGGTCAATCACCTTTAAATGCATGTCTTTAGAAATACCCTGTAAGAACACACAGAGGAACAGCACATATTACCTCCTTTACAGCAAACCTCATTCAAAACTCAGGCAGCTACTATTTTGCATATAGGACAGAATTATGAACAATCCAAGGCCCACAGAATGCTCTACTCTCTGCATATTTGAAGGTCACATTGGGTAGATATAAATCTACCCAATTTGGATATTTTAACCATCATAATGAAAAGGAAGACTTACCAACAGGAGCTGAGTTTTTAAGAACAGACTCCTTTGGGACTCCTTTTTCAATTCGTATTGTGGCCCACTGTTGAAAAAGGAGAAGTGTTAATTTAAACTGTTCCACAGACACAACACAGAATACCCAAACTATGCTTATATGGAAGTGAAATTAAACATTAAGCCCTGGCACTCCCTGAATTAAAGAAATACCCCAGTGAATGTCTGATGTAGCAGTATGCTAAATCCCAGGCATACTTATATTATATCTCTTATATTAGTTACTGATAATGCCCTAATAAAATGAGGAAAAGATTGTGTTGACCCTATTTAAACCACTCACACACATCTGGTACCCTCCAAAAACTACTCCTTGAAAAGGTCGTGAAACATGTCAGGCACAGGTTATGGCATCAAGACTATCTG